TCTCTCTCTCTCTCTCTCTCTCTCTCTCTCCTTACTGCTGGATCTGGCGCGAATCAAAACACTCTCAGATCGGACGCGCTGACGATCGTCCCGGAGAAAGACGAAAGTCGAAAGCGAATCGGAGAAACGATAGACTTCGTTCCGAGTCTCTCGAAAACGAAAATGATCAAGAAAAAAAAAATGTAAAACGGATGGTAGAATTAAATATCACAATTAAAGCAGTTACACTGAGATATTAAACGGGTGTTCAAACCCTATAAATAATATAAGATTCAGAAAACTACAAAATGTAAGGATCTCGGCAACAGGGCTCTCGATCCCGATTCGAAACTTTTCGAAGAAAAACTCAAAGAGAGATCGTAGAAGATCTCCTCCAATGGAAGATTTTATGGAAGCATCACGAAAGCCTCGTTGCCTCACGAGACTGCGTTGGATTATTTATTACGTCATTAATCAATCAGGTTTTTCCTCGCGGCACTGTAAAGGGCAAGAAGATGCAATATGGAAATGAATGTAAATCGTAAAAGGCACTACCCGTGGATGTTCACGCTGTAACCCGTGAAATGGCTCGCAACAGCGAGGTATACGTGAAAGTCCATAAAATGGAATTGTTGCAGTTTCCGGATGCACTTTAAGGCCGCCTCACATAACAGCAGCGAATTGTAACGCGTTGCACCGATCCCGTTTCGGTTGCAATTGTTTAACGATCGGCGTTACGAGTCGGCTCAACTTTACAGACCCGAGTAAATTGTAAGCTTACTCCATTATTTATAAACGACAGGGTATAAAAACAAGATATAACAAAGAAGATTAAATGTTCGAAACAATAGAATTTGCTGAAGTTGTCTACGTTGTTTGAAAAATATATTAAACTTGAGTTGTTGATCTATGATGATAAAATAAATCTGTAAATTTCCATTCGATATATTTTGAAGTACAACACGCAAGGATAATATCCAATATATTCCTCAATATTTAACAGTAAAGTAATTTTCTATCGAATTCTATTTTTTGTAATTATACCCACGAATATCCATCGTTTGAACAGAATTGACAAACTTGAAAACATCTTTAGAATATATTACACAAGATAAAAATACCAATCTCTTGTTGATTTCCACGTCAAAGGTGCACGCAAATAAAACTTGCATTGACTTGCGTTATCTTCAGCGTCTTGTTAAGGATCGAGGATTTTTTTACTACGCGAACCAATCATAAAAAAAAGACAAGTTCTCGCCTCACCTTGTGCCCTGAGCGAAAGCACTCAAATAAACGAACCTGCCGAGATTTCATTCAGTCAGATAGAACACGCACCAGCCTACACCTGTTAACGGCACTTTCATAGCACGGGACAATTTTACACTTCATCGTATGCCCGTGGTTTATTGGCAATCGCTATTCCAGAGCTTTACAATGTCTGGTTTACGGATTCTCGAAACGTACGCGCGGATTCACCCTGCAAGACCTTCACCATCTGTCTCTCCTCTTTCTCCTAATAGGTCATGCAGATACGACAAAGAGAGTCCGCATAAAAGAGACACGCGTAAAAACGGGGGTGGTCGATGTAAAATTGTAACAATCGGTTGCGATGTAAAGCGGCCACGAATGTTATGCAGTAAGTCGCGAATTTGATTTAAATTTCATATCGAATTTTATTTCACAGGTAAATAAGATTTGCTTTTTCAAAGTAAATACAATAAGTATACTATTATAATAAGCATAATTGCACTTTAAAGAAAATATCTACGATAAGATTGACCAGGAACTTGACCAGTTTTATAATAAATTCCTTGTCGAAGAGAAAAAGATAATAAATGTTTGTCAGCGGATTATAAAAGAAGTATAAAAATTTTATGATTTACGTGATAGTTATTATGAATATTCGATGTACTGTACAGCAATTAATATAATTTCGTATCTTAATAACTCTATTAATTTCTAATTGAAAATTTTTAATGAAGAAACAACTTGTGAAACGCGCAATGAAATGCACATGCGCAAATAAATCATTCGATCTCATATCTAAGAGATAGACCGTAATGAAAATTTCAAATTATAAAGCTGTAAATCATATTTCTCCCTTAAAATCACGTGATCTTAACGTATCTTTAATCATTTGAAAGCTAACCATACGTATACGATTAAATCACGTAACGCATGTACGTTCCGAAACCGTACTATTCTACTCGCAAAGAAATTACAGTGATTCGAAAAGGAGAAGAAAATTGACTTCCTTTTCCGCTTCCGACCTTAGTGAAACACGTACATTTACCATCTGTAAAGTTGCGTTACACAAACAGCAAAAATAGAAACAGCTGACGCATGAAAACATATTAATTATATTTAACACTCGTTAACGTAGGGAGAAGCACCGACTCTCTTCTCTCCATCTCTACACAAAGTACGTAGTACCATGGATCACGCGACAGTAACAAAAGTCAAACGTTATTTTACGAGCAAAAAACGCGGCGTAGACGAGGAATCGTCGTTCACGGAGAAACGAGGATTGCAACGAGACAGAGACGAATTTATCCGTCACACGGATAAATTTACAAGAGGTTGTCGGACATCACGGGGATAAAGGTGTACAAGCAAATTTAGCAGACGCGCGTCAAGGTACACAGAGACGAGAGAAAACAACGGCTTCCATCCCTCTCCGTCACCTCTCTCTCTCTCTCTCTCTTTCTTTAATCCACCCCAGTGGAGGAACGCGCTACGTGCTCCCTCCCTCCCTCCCTCTCTTCCTTAAACTCAGAGTGTGCAATAGAGCATACGATGCGTCTAGACAAAATAATGATTTGGATTTCAATACATTTGCATTCATTACCCGGGGACACCTCTTCTGTCGCTCCCGTTTTCGTCTCTGCCCCTCGTGACGATCCCCTCTACTATTCCGTTTCATGTCTCGCAGAGTTACGCTCGTTATCATACGAATGCTCTGCTCGTGCCGTCGGCGCTCGTTTCGTCGCCGTCGAAATGCGATGCGGCCGGACGGAGTAAGCAGCATCACCAGCAGCCAGATCCAGCTTGCTGTCTGGCTTTTGCACACGCTATCCACCACGTCTGTA